ATCAAATTGATCACCAAAGGAGAAAGAAAAATCTAAAGTGACCTAAATATATTTCACTTTATACCATAAAAAAAGATATCTCTGAAAATGTGGAGGTAAAAAGATCCAGGAAAAAATCCTTATTGTTCCATTAGCTAATAAAAAGTCCGCTTATTTTAAGTCATTTCTAAAGCATGCTCCCTACCTAAAACCCTTTGTCGCTCCTCTGCTTCCCCTGCTTCTCCCATTGATTGTTTATTTAATTAATAACAGAGTTAAATGAGAACTGAAATCAAAATAAAATATATTTACATCAAGGTAGTATACTTCTTATATTGAAAGTTAGCCTAGGGTTCAGTAAGCTTTTATACATCATTCCAATTAATTTTATTCAATAAGCTTTGTTTACTTTTTGGATCTTGGCACTATATATACAAAGTACTATTCAGTGATCACAAGTATAGATATGGAATTAACTGAATTAGTATGTAAATAGCATTTCTATAAACCAGAATTTATTTTGTATATATTAAATTTATGTGAAGCAAATAAACTTTAAGATTTAAATTTTCATTCTATGTTTACTCACAAAATTTCTTACTTATTTGCAGATGTTTTCTGAATTAAAGTGAGGAGTTTTGTGGTAATTTACCAATTTGAATCAAAACATAGTCTGTATCTCCCACTACCTTTACCAGATATTCTTAAAATACAGTTTTTTTTCTCACTGTGGGAGGAAAATAATCATTTATAAAATACCAGTACCCTTCAAACATAAGATTCAGAACTTGAATCACTTGTTTATCATGTGGAATAAGCTCATTATTAAAAACCCTCAAGAGGTTTAGAATGGGAAAAAATAGGATTGCTGATAACTAATTTAACTCTTCATAAGGTTTGATGTTAACAGTAATGTCTAAGTTTGAATTTTGATAGTTAAATAGGATATTTTAACAATATGTATAGATACTGATCATAAGCACTATTAACCAAAATGAATCTTATACCAGCACTGCCAAACTTTCCAATTTCTCCCTGAAGGTGTTACTTGGGGCCAACTCTGTATTTTGTTTTGTTTTGTTTTGTTTTCTGGGGGGCTGGGAGGGGGGAGGGTTGTTCTTTATGACACATCACCTGGGTATGAGGTGTCCCACTGCATCTTATTACTTTATTATTTGACTTGGGCTATACTCTAGGCATTCAACTACAAAATAGGAAAGGAAAAGCAACTGAAATGTAAGACAGTTGTAACCAAGAAGGTAAATACTTGCTGAGTACTGGCTGTCTCATGTGCTTTCACATAGGTACACAGATTATAAGGGAAAGGAAGTGAGGATGATGCACAAATGGACCCAGAGGAGCTAATGTCAAACTGACATTGGTCAGGTGCCTAGTTTCCATGTGCAAGGGACAACATTATTATAGTAGGGTAGAGAATGGAAAAGAAGTTTTACATAATTGAAAATACCTTAAAAATATAATCATTATTTAGATTACTAAGGTTAACCATATCTTTCAAACTTAATATATCACTGCTGATTAGGGTGAAGCTTTTGAAAATATATTTTTCCTCCAAGAAACATACTGTTATTAAAGAAAAAGGGAAAAAAAATTCTGAGAATATATGTCTAGTGTTTATTTCTACCTTCTCACTGTATTTTATTCTGTCTCAGATTTTAACAAATCATTTCTTCAAATGTTTAAATCATATACCATTATACATCATTTTATAAATCACCATAATAGTAATTTTCTTGGCCTATCAACCTACAGACAAAAAAATTCATCTTTTAAGCCACTACTTTATATAATATTAATTTACATTTCATAAAGATTTTGAGCCCATCCAATTGACCTAATATTTAAAAAATTCACAGAACCATAAACTCTAATCTTATAATCTTCCAATCTAAACTCCAAACTAAAACTTATACATACAGTAGTTATAAATTAAAATTTAACTGGATGCAAATCCCCTACTCTAAAATGGTGCTTTTCCTCCTGTGAAAATAAAAGGACACCTCACTCGAGTCAAGAGGTTAGAAGCAGCAGCAGCCAGCAGCTCTACCTCAATTACAAGAATTGTCAATTACAGAACCCATCAGAAGATCCTAACAGGAAGAAATCATCAATTACAGCTTGACCATGGGAAGATGTATATTGCATCTCTTACAAGAAACAGACTACTGCAACCCAGCCAAGGAGAAGCCAAGATCACCCACGAACTTTTGTTTTTCTCCAATGGACTTAAGTTCAAAACAACCCCTTCTAGTCCCTCCTTTTTCCTCTATAAAATAACCTTCCTCTCCTTTGACTGCTGGGTATGCCTATGGTTTTGCTATAGTTTGCATGTCCCGAATTGCAATTCTCTGCTACTCCCCAATAAACTAATTTTTGCTGGTGAAATAGCTCACAGTTTTATTTTTAAAGTTAACATTTCCAACTAGTATTTAATATTTTCAAAACTAAAACATTAACTACCTAAGAATACTTCAGGACCTACAGGGAAATGTGTTTGCATATCATAACAACAGGTGTAATTCACTTTTATAAATGGTTATGTTGCTGAAAAACCTATGAATAAATTAGTAAGGTAGTCTACTGTTACTTAAAGGAGCTTTACAAGGAATTCTGAGCAAAGATAACCTTTTACAATGTATATAACATTATTTACATATTCAGATTCTCCATATCATCTTTTCTTGAAATAGGACATATCAGTAACATTTCTATCTTTCCAAACTCTACCCTAAGGTTAATTTTAGTGCAGGTAATTTATGACTACTGGAAGAGTAAAGAGTTCAAAAAAAAAAAAAAAGAACTGATACCCCCTTAGCGCTTGTCTTCTCTAAGTGACAGAATTTAAAATTTTTCACACATATCACAGAGATTTCAGTAAGTGTGAGCTGTGGTCCTCAATTTCACACAAAGCCATGCAAACAGATGGGTGTTTAGGAGATTATACTGGTCAGGCTAATACCACTCCTTTTTCCCCCCCTCTCAGAAGAGAATATTACTAAATAAACCACAGATGGCAGTTAAAGGCAGTGGTTAACAGCTATGGAAGTTAATTATACTCCTTGAACCTGTTAAGTACTGATAAATAAATAATGTAAAAATTAATGATGCAAAGCCCAATGCCTGGCATATAGTAACTATTCAATAAATTTCAGCTCTTAATTAATATTATTCATATTAATAATTCAATACCAATTCCTACTGCAGCTGCTTTCTGAATACAGAATCTCCCCTCTATGTTGTACATCTTCAAAATCACCCCACTCGCTAACATATGCTAAAGACACTGGAAAACCTCCCACCTTGAAAATGTTTAAAAACTTCATCAGATCTAAAAGAGTAAGGTGACTAAACATTTAGATATGGAAAAGTCAGTCTTTATTTGAATAATGTTTAATGAAATTCTCAAATCTGTGAATATTCTCTGAAATATACCAATAGATTGATCTATCATTTTCATAGCTTTTAGCAAATCCATAACCTATAGCATTTTTTTGTTACGAGGATTTGCTATACTGACACATATACCTTTAAGCCATGAGTATTCCATCCTTCCAGAGTTGGGTAAACTGATGGAAAGATGGCTAAATGATTCAGCATGCTGCAGCAAAATGAGCTGGTCATGAATTTATAATTTCCACTTCTGTTAGGTGCTCTGGCCCTGGTGGCCTCTCTGACCGTGTACTGCATATATAACGAATGATAGCACAATCGACAAATTTCGTTAAACATTCCCTCAGGAAAGGAGTAATGGTGTTTTCCCCTCAGACAAGCTTCTAGAAGTAAAATTATTCAATTTTATGTGACAACAGGTTCACAAGGCTGGACAACCCTTGTATTGCCCAGTTGTACACTCCATAGAGTAAATTCTAACACCGGTGACGTTTTCTCAGCTGCACAAGGCAGACACTGGGAAAGCCCTGAAGCAAAAGAAAACCAGAAAATGGGCAAAGGAAGCCAGACAGGAAATGGGTATGGCTGTTCCTGTGTCTCTCATGCCAAAACTGACCTTTACCAACAAACATCATAACAGGACAGACCATAAGAAAATCATAAAAACTGAAGAGCAGTTACAGAATATATTCTAATGAAGCTTTACTTGTAAGGACTCTCCCAACCCAAAGCAGGTGAAAAGCCTTTTTCTAAGTGTCCCTATTTGCCCTTCAACAACAGATTTACTATGTTAATCATATGAAACATTTATTCTAGAAATGTACAGATTCCAAACTAGATGAAAACCTTTTTACATCACATAAGCAAGACGCAAAAAGCGGCGGCGATCCGATTCGTGAATTAAATGTGTTCATCAAAACTGCACCATCTCAAATGCTGGGAAAGCACATCCATTTTGTGATCACAGCATACTCATTCCGCCCAGCATTTCCTGAGACTGGGCCAAAGAAGTGTGCCAGGATGTGTAAAACGAAATCGCCATTATCTGCAAAATCCAATTTCCTCATTCAATACCTTGAATTTATTTTTATTTCCCTTTGATGTGGTTACACACTCACACACCAAAACCTGAGACACTGAAACAGTTGACACTATCTTAAAACTATCCAAATGTATTTAGGAAACAGCTAGGGTGACAAATCTGACCTTTCATGAATCCACCTTTTTTTTGGTTATGACTGCAATCCCTAATTTCCTCTAACCTGAGAAGTAGTGGGATTGTGGAGAAAGAAAAAAAAAGAGGAAAAGCGCCTAATTCGAAATGTACAATTTCTACGTATCTTATAGTATTAATACATACGTTTTCTTTCTCCATCAAGACCTCGGAGGTCAACAGTAGGGAAAAAAAAAAGGGGTTGGGGTGGGGGTGAAAGACAAGATTTCAGAGCTGACCCAAGGCGACACCTCCACGGTTGGAGGTTCTGAGCTCAGGGGCAGTCCAGCCGAGAGTTCTGAAGGCTGCAGAATTAGCGACAGCAAGCCCAGGCCGCGCCGCCAGTATTGGGCGCCTCTGCCTTGCGCATGTCCCACTTATATAAAGAGATGCTTACAGTCCAGGTGCTTTTTCTTGGGCCCCATCACTTCATGAGTGGTGGCTTTGCAGACCGCTCTTGCTACAGCGGAGCCTGTCACGCTGTACTGAGCGGCGGCGATCCGATCCGTGAGCGTTTGGCCCGACATCTTCGCCAGTCGCGTCTACCGCCTCCTTTTCTGCAGGGAAGAAGGGGAGACGGTGCTGCTTTAACCCGCAGACCCTACACTTCGAGCACCCAGGCCTCGCCTCCTCCAGCCAAACGGCAGCTCTCTTTTAGTCCCCGCCCTCGTAGCCGGCAACGCGCTGAGCCCTGCACCTGCGACTCCGTCTAGGGGGGTCGTAAGAGTCGGTCTGTCACCGAACCCCAGGGCAGGCTCCGGTTCCAGCGTCGTGATACCATCCCGACCCCACCCCCCGAGCCGCCCGCTGCAGCCCCCCGGCGCTCCAGCGTCAATCAGCCCTTCGCCTGCACCCTGGTCCCCGGGTGCCGGGTCAGCCCGGCGGCGCACGATGGGGTTACTCCCTGGGCGCCGCGCCCACCTCGTACCTCCCTGCCGCAGCGCTGCCTCCTCGCAGCCCGCAGGCATCGGGGAATGGATCGGACCCCGAGCCCCGGCCTCCTCCCCCCTCCCAGCGCTGCTGCAGCAATGGGCTCGCCCTCCCTGGCCGCGGCGGCGATTATCCTAGCATTGCGCCATGTTATGCCCTCCCTCCCCTGACTTCCTCGCTGCCGCCTCCAAAGCCCTCCGCCCGGGGCCCCTGCCCTCACCTCCGAGTCCCCGCCGCAGGGGCCGCCCGGGGCTCTGCGGAGGAGCCGGAGGGTCCGCGCCGCGCCCTGCCGGGCAAAGGAGCAAACAGACCGACAGTAGCCCAGCCCCCGCCCGACCGCGAGCGCGCCGCCGCCCCGCTCCGCGCCGGAGGATCATCCTCCCCGCTCCCCGCGCGGGCCCGACACCGGGGGGAGGCCAGCCGGGTACTCACCCCGCCCCAGGATGCGCGGAGCCCGAGCCGCCGAGGGAGGCCGCTTCGGGTGGGTCTGAGCGGCCGTGCGGGAGCCCGGTGCCCCGGCCGCGAAGCCGCCAGCCCGGCCCGGCTGCCGCCCTCAGCGCCGCGGTCCCTGCGCCCGCCCGCGTGGCCCCGGAGCCAGCACCCGCCCGCCGCCGGCGCCGCCGCGTCTCCCGGGCCCTCCGCTCCGCGCTCCCATCCCCGCCCCAAATCAGCGGCGGCGGCCCCGGCCAGTCAGGTGACGGCGGCGGACTAACCCGGGCGAGCTCTCCGTGGAGCGGCTCGCGGCCGCCTCCCAGCTACTCACGCTCGCCGCCCCCGGGGCCGCGAGCTGACGGGCAGGGGACGCCGCGCGCGCGCATCCACGGCCAGCGCGAGAGGAGAGGCGGGAGCCGGGAGGCCGTCACCCAACCAGCCAACTGCCCTCCGCGCGTCCCGCAGCAGCCCCTCCGCGCTGGCCCCGCACCCGGCACGCACTGCGTGCGCGCGCACCGCACACACCTGCCCGGTGCCGGCGGGAGGCGCAGGGGCCGCGGGGGCGTTAGCGCACCCGGCCGGGGTCTTCTGCAGCCCTACCCTGTGCAGGCCGACGCCCGGCCATCGTCGCGCGCGCCTGGCAGAGCCCAGCCCTTCCTCTCCTACATCTGTTTGTGACAAGCCCGCCTGTCAAAGGCAACCGCGGCCCAGAAGGGCAGGGCGATTTAAAATGTCAGAGGCTGCTGGCCGACCAGGCCCGTCAGCGGTGCGTCCCCCACTCCTTTGAGCTCCTTTGCATGTCTCGGTTACAGCTGGGAGCCAGGGTGGGCAGGTAATTACAGCCACTTTGGTCTTAAGCGGATACTGAGGTCTGCTGCAAATTCATACGAAAAACGAGCAAAGCCAAATATCGAGGCCGATTATATTCACAGTGGTCATTTGGGTGTGAAAGGAAAACACTTTGTACCCTTAAAAAGTAATTTCTGTCAATTAAACATAGTGTCTGAATGTCTTCAGCATATTTGAATTGCATACATGAATATCTATTTGGGCTTGGTTAATAGTTTTACGTATTGACATTTTCATAGATTATTGTTACCTAAAAAAATGTTTTAAATTCTCAAAGTAGAGTCAAGATCAGAACTTCAGTTGTGTGTTTTCTTCATTTTTTTCCTGGGTATGGATGATCTCTATTCGGCCTTGAGGCAGTAGAATGTCTACCTGTGGATATCAAATTTTTGTTGTGTATTTCTTTTACCTGGTAAGGTGTTCCAGAATGAATTCATGATTTATAACTGTTGAGACTGGTTCTGGCACTAATTAGAAGCGTGATGGCTAAAGAAACATAGTCCAAGACCACCACAGTCAGGTTTCAAATACTTGTCCTACCATATTATAGAGCAATACCTCACCTGGATATTTATCCAAGAAAAATAAAAACACATTTCCATTTAAAAAAATTGTGCTCAAACTTTATACTAGCTTTACAAAATGGCCCCAAATTGGAAGAAACCCAAATGTTACTCTACTGGTACATGGATAAACAAAATATGGTATATATACACAATGGGCTTCTACTAGCAATAACTAGGAAAAAAAAACTACGTGGATGAATCTTAAATGCATTATGCTAAGTCAAAGAAGCCCAACCCACAGTGCTACTTGTTGAAATTACATTTATGTAACATTATGAAAAAGGCAAAACTATAGAGAAAGAAAGGATGTCAGGTGCCAGGAGTGAAGCAAGAGATCGCCTACAAAGGGACAGAAGGCAACTTTTTGGAGTGATGGAAATGTTCTATATATCATGATTCATGATTGTGATGCTGTTCACATAACTGCATATATTTCTCAAAACTTATCAAGGTATACACCTAAAATTGGTGAGTTTTATTATGAATAAATTATACCTCAATAAATCTGATAAAAAGAGCTGAAGTGGCAATATTAAATATTGCACAAAGTAGACTTCACAAAAAAGGATGTTAGTAGAGATAAAGAGGCACATTTCATAATGATAAAATGCATCAAGCATATGTAACAATCCTACATGTTTATATATCTAGGACTAGAGCTTCAAAATAAGGTGAAGCAAAAATAGCATAAAAGGAGAAATAGGCAAATTCGCCATTACACTTGAGGATTTCAACTCTCTTCTCTCAGTAATTGATTGGGCACATTGAGAGAAAACCAGCAGTGGTAAAGGTGACTTGAAATAACTGTAACCAATTTGACCTACCTGACATTTACAAAGTACTCCACTCAACAACAGTGGAATGCATTCTTTCCAAGTGCATATAGAAATTTAACAGGATAGACCATATTCTGGGCCATAAAGCTAATCTAAAAGAATTTTAAAAGATTACAGCCATACAAAGTATGTTCTCTTACTACCATGGTATTTAACTAAAAATTAGTAACATATCTGGAAATCCCTAAATATTTGATAATTAAAGCATCGCATTCTAAATAACCCATGGGTCTAACTTTCTTAGGAAAATTAGAAATTACTTTGAACTGAATAATAATGAAAATGCAACATAAAATATGTGGGGTACAGGTAAAGCAGTAGTTAGAGGAAAATGTATAGTACTAAAATGCTTATCTTAGGATTGAAGAAAGACCTAAAATCAACTATTTAAATTTCAACCTTAAGAAACCAGAAAAAGAACAAATCAAACTCAGCAGCAGCAGAAAGAAGAAAATAATAAAAAGAGTAAAAATCAGTGAAAAAGAAAATAGACAAATAATAGATAAAATCAATGAATCGCAAAACTGGTTTTTTGAAAAGATCAATAAAATTGATAAGCTCCATAGCCAGACCGATGAAGGAAAAAAAAAGATGACATAAATTTCCAATGTTAGAAGTGAGAGCAATTATAGATCCTATGGACATTAAAAGGATAAAACAATGTTATGAACAACATATACCAATAAATCTGGCAATGTACATGAAAAATTTCATGGAGAATAGTCATTCTCCAAGAATCCAATAGTGATGTCATGTCACATATATTAGTGTTAAGAGGTTGTGAGCAAGCAACATGTTTCTAATAATGGTCAAGAGAATCCAGTCTGATTTAATTTTTTTAAATATATTGAAGTAGTTTCATGCTCAATCATAAAGTCTTGTGAAATTACATATAGTTATTTGTATGCAGATAGGACTGGGAAGGATGAGAAGCCAGTTTGTCTTTGGTGAGCTACTTATGTCTCTGGTAATATGCATCGGAGAGTATCCCACAGGACATCCTTCTGTCATGGGTGGAAGAAAATATTTGAAATCTCTCAACTATAAAAATATATACAAATAAGTAAATCATGTCAAGAGTAGAACTAACTCTTGAAATGTTGCTGATGTTTTGAAAGGTCTAACAGGGCTTTGAAAACAGTAGCATATTTCCAATGGCAAGGATTAAGAAACACTAGGTTCTTACATCCCAGAAAACCTAGAAATACAACCATAAATGTCATACACTAAGGTGAAAGAAAGTTTATTTAAAGAAAGAAATACACCAAAAGAAAGATGATTCCTTATCAATATATTCCTTTTGAAGGCCAGGTACATAATATATAATATCCAATAAATCTTAGTCAAGTATAAGCATTGACCTTCAATGTTTTTACAAATTTTTTATGTTTTGATCTCTCTCAGTGGTCAGACAGGAAGGCAAATACAATTGACAACTCAAAATACTTAAAAAAACATATTGAAACTTTTTTTTCTGAGCCAATATACATGTATTCACTATACAGATTGATTTAATGTACACGTTTTTCTCTGAGTATCAGATTTAATAGAGAAAAGTCAAACCAACAATAATGACACGTCGATTGGCAATTTATGTGAACACATGAGGGCAAATGTCTTCAATTTACAAGAAATAAGATAGAACAAGAGTACAAAAAACAGAAGTAAAGTATTGCCTCAGGCAATAGTAGAGTTAGAAAACTCTAACTCTACTATTTCACTAATAAAAATTCACTAATAAAAACATTAGCTGTGAAATGACTGTACCTGCTTATGTTTTCAACTCTAGCTTCCTAGGAATAATAGGAGCTTGGTCCTATCCATGATGGTATTTGAGGTGTCTTGTTTCACATCTCAGGAACTAGGTAAATTATTAGTTTATTTTCTTAGTTTAGATCTTAGAAAAAAGAAATTTCACACCTAATGTTGCTGTTCTGGTTACGTATTGTTATACAACAAACTGGCTTAAAACATTTTTTTAAAAATTTCTCTCTCACGGTTCTGTGAACTAACTGCTGGATAGTCCCCTCTGAAGTCTTTTGTTTGGTTGAAATCAGATGGCAGCCAGAGCTCTAATCATAAGAAGTCTCTCCTGGACTCACTGCCCAAGATGGCTTATTCACCCACATGTCTGGCAGTTGATGCTGGCTGTTCACTTAGGGCTCTGCTGAACATTTAGCCAGAGCCCCTCCTCAGAGCATCTTTGTGTGACTTATGCTCCTCATGACAGAGTGATCCAGGGGAATTATTTTCTTGCACGGTGGCTGGCTTCCAAAACGGAACAGCCCAAGGTGGAGTGTTCCAAGAAACCTAGCTTCCAAGAAATCTACGAAAGTGTTTTCAGAACCTGGTTCTAAGAATCCAAGAACTGTAAGGTTCTTATGACCTCACTCTGAGGTCATGCAGCATCAGTTATATTATTTATCAGTCAAAAGCAAGTCACAGAGACAACCACAGTTAGGAGGAGGAGACTATTCCTGGGAAGTTTATTGGCAGACCAACTACCACAGTGACACACAAAAGTAAACTGTTGAGAAGAACCTATAGAAAAAAACCTATACTCTCAGGAATATGAGATTAAGGGATCCACTTAAGATTCATTGAGAACTACCCCCAAAACAATTGGCAACTGATCAAAAATGACTTGGGCATAAATTAATACAACACAATGAATTATTGTGTCTGGTTGGAATATTCTCACTTACATACCAGTTAAATTCCTATTCACCCTTCAAGACCCCAAATCAAGTTGTACATGACCTGCAAATCTTTCCCAAATCCTCTATTTTAGCCTCTTCTTTTTATAAATGAGGAAACTTAAGACTAGAGAATTTAACTTTCTATCACACAGTGAAATAGCAGCATAACCAATTTCAACTCCAGTTTCAAATTTCCACTCCAGTGTTTTCTCCAC